ATGATCTCCATAGCTAGACCCACCAGTTAACACAATCTTCTCCAAACAATCCACATTTAACATGACATTCCTTGGGATGATCTCTGAAGTTATTGTCTTTAATATTTGCATTAGGGCAAACTCTAACTTGGGTGACGTAGCTGTCTATTTACTCTTTTCAGCTGTATTGTTGCATTGATATTTCTGTTTTTTGCATTAAATCTTTATTAGATAGGTCCAAAATGGGATGTTTGTAGGTCCCTGTGCTAGAATGCACTGAGAAGCATGTATGTACATCTGCCTTTGCAGTTGCAGATGTGCACTCGTGTAGCTGGCTGGGTACGGCAACTGGAATTACCAGTGCCAGAAGCTCTGATTGCACACATTCTGTTCCAGTTCTCGCCTACCTTTCCACAAACATGACACTGTCTGAGGAGGTGGCTCCCTTGATTCAGGTGTGTATGCTGCACTGAAGCTGTTCTCTGTTGGACACATTGTTTGTTTCTGCATCCACAGGGCTTTGTGCTGGGAGATTTCTGTGCCTTGTTGTCCCACAGCAGCCGTGCCACCTGCTCCAGGATTCAAACCTCAAGGTGATGTAAATGTGCTCTCTGAGTGATCTGGTGTGAGCTTGTGGTCAGATACTTTCACTCCTGTGAATGAAAATCTCTGTTTCTGCTCCTATTTATTTTGTCATCCTGTTTCCTCTGAGAGGTTGAAATAGAGGGGTGTATTGTGGGGGAGCATGTTTAGCTGATGGAGAGAAACCCTTGGTAAAGATGTGGTTGAGGCCACATGGCAGCTGAGGCAGAGAATGGTGAGGACGATGCAGTACCTCTGGCCATATCAACCATGGGGCAATGATGGAGACTGCAGTGAGGGATGTTCAGCAGTGAGGATGGGTCATGCAGTAATGAGGGCTGCTGCTGGGCAGTGGCAGATGTGCTCTGTAAGGTAAATTGAGTGTGCTAAGGCAGAGTGACTTAGATGTTTTCCTCTTCTCTCTTGCCAGTTTTCCAGGGGGGCTGAGTGAGGAAGAGGAGAGAGATTTTTGTGCTGCTGGGTTCCCAGTTCTAGAGGAGGATTTTAATGTTGCGTTGGATCAGTTGCATGATGCCCATTCCCATGCTGTGGGAGCCCCAAAGGTATGAGCTCTCAGACCCTTCCCATGTTGAGGGGTTTCTTCAGTTAGTCAGTGGTATGCAATGGCAAGGGACAGGCTGGGTACCAGTCTTCCAGTGACAGAGACTGTCTCATGAGAGACTGTGAGGGTGGGGAGGAAGCTGGCATGAGAGCCTCTTATGTTGTGTGAAGCATTAACACAAAGCCTTTGGGCTAGACTCTCTGCTGGGACTTCTATTCCTTGACTTCAGAGCATTTGATGTGGGACCATGAGACCCAGAGAGTGCTTTGGGCTGTGTCTGGAGTCTTGTCCTTTGGGCAGTTTCTCATCTAAGAGCTACCAGGCTATGATAGCGTAAGGGTAGGGAAAGTAGTTACTTTTGTGGCCTGTGCAGGACCAGGTATGTTGCAGCTAAACTATTATGTGATGGCTTATTGGCCTGCCAGGTTTGATTGAAGGCATAGGGTAACTCTTTTTCAGGGAATATGTTCTGCTCATGGGGCAGTAAGTTATCCAGAAAGGGGCAGAACCTCACCAACTTAAGGTGATTGCATGATTGCATTTGACATCAAATGTTGACTCTAGGGACAAGATGCTCAGCCCCTCTCACCTCCAGCTGCTTTACACTTGTGCTTTACACTTCTAAACATGAAGCACCAGAACACTGATGTGAAAAGATGTCCAGGGATTTTTCTGGTAAAGGAAATCCTCAGGAGGTGTAAAGCTGGCATGGCTAGCTCTATGCTGCCAACTCCCACCCCTCCCTAGAGCAGGGCAAGACCAGACTGGTGATTCTCAGGCTAGGGAACATCTGGGGACCCATTCCTGTTTGGGTAGTTCAGTGCCAGAGTCAGAACAGGGAAAGCACGAGGACTGTGTAGAGCTGTCTCGTCTCCCAGTCCTACTCCTGCCCCAAGCACAAGTGGGGGACATGGCTGAAAAGCACCTTCACTCATTTTCCTCATTGATCATTCTGGCTAGGAAAGCAAGCAGGTTTGCCTGGCACAATTTTTTTTTTTCATTTTATTGCTCCAGCTTCTGTTGTCCTGGAAAGCTTGCACATTTCTCACCTGCTAATTGGTTTCAGTATTTTATTAGGGCTTGAAATTGGACCTCCTTTGGTTTGTTGAAATACTGTACATGTAAAAATGCACACATTAATATAAATGTTGTAGTGTGCCTTGTTCTTCCAAAGTCCTTATAGATAATAAGTAATTCTGTTTGTATTTATAAATATCTGACCAATTTTCTGACAATTGGCACAGGTTCAGAATATTCTGACCTTTAACTTTGAATATACTCCGTTCTACTGAAAGAATTTTTGCATAGGGCTTTATCTACTTTTTGTTGAAGGGATGCTTTTAGTTTTTGTTTTCTAGAATTAAAATATTTGTATAAGATTTATAAATAAGTTAATCTTCAGTTTCTGGCTGAGCCTGTAGTAAATAGGAAAGAGACTTTGGAATTATTTTAGGTAAATTCTTGAAAACATCAGCCCAGAGTTCAGGAGCCATCAAAAAGGTGATTACGATGTTAAGAATGCTTGAGTAGGGAACTGAAAAGAAAACAGGAAATGTCCATTATATCACTGTGTAAATCCATGGTACAACCACACTTGGATATTGCGTCAAGTTCTGGTGGTCCCCCCTGTCCTTTAGGATGTAGTAGGACTAGAAGAGGTATAGAGAAGGGGCAGCAAGGATAATCAGGGGCATGGAGAAGCTTCTGTATGAACAGACACTAAATAGGCTAGTGGTTGGCAACTTTTCAGAGCCCTGGAGCAGAACAACCAAGCTTTTCCCTGATGCCGCTTCTTCTTGATGTCTAGCCCTGGTGCCAGAACATCTCCAACATAGCCAAAACCCCATGCTGCTGAAGCCCCTTGTCCTGGGGTGTTGTAGAGGCTGATAATTTAACCAGGCTGAAGAGAGGAATGGAACAATTCACGAAGGACAGATCCATCAGTGGGTGTTACACATGATAGCTTGTAGTGCAGCCTCAAAATAAGCGCTTCCTAGGCCTCTGAATACTGGAAGCTGTAGAGGGGAGAGGGGCAGGGGATGGATCAGTCTGGATTGGCCTTATTTAAATTCTCTTCCCTTTCACATCCACTCTGTGCCACTGAGAGCTAAGAGGATGCTGGACTAGATGCACATATGATACAACTTAGTGTGGCACTTCTGAGTTTTTAGGTAATCTGTTAAAACCAGTGGATCCCCTGCAATAGAGAGTGAGATTGCCAGCACCAGATGATGAATGTGCCAGACAGGAGACTGGCTATTGACATTCGTTGGACACACAGAGCTGCTACAGGCCCAAAAGAAACAACTTAGACAAACCTTATTTTGCCTTATTTTTCTCAACACAATCATAGTATGTAATCATAGTACTTGTAAATCTAGGAGGTATAAGTTGCATTCAGACAGAGGCATGTGTTTTCCCAGTAGATGAGATTTGAGGCTGCTTCATTGTCTGAACTTCTGTTCTCTCTTTCTTAAGGAAGACCATTTTCAAATGTAGTTCAGTGTCTCATTGGATAACATGGTTAGATTGGGTAACAACTTCTTTCCCATCTCTGTTTATAAATGTCCACTGCAGCAGGCTTTCTTTCCTGAGGGCATTTGTTGCTGAAAACCCTTTAGTTTCTTTGCTTCCCTCTGGCATCATTTGCACTCCTCCAGCATCCTGGCTGTTTTTGTATTCTGTTGCAGTCTTAAAAATTAACAGCAGAAGGATGGAGGGATGGAGTGGTTGTTTCATGGCTCTTGCATCATGGGAGAAAGGAAGCTGAGGAACTTTTTGTTTTAAGGGCAGCTTTGCTTTTCTCACAGTAGACATTTAAATGTTTTTAGACCTGATTTAAAACTGGCTAGAGAACTGGAGCAGTAGTAGGACCAGGTCAACACAAGGAGCAAAGGAGTGAAAGTGGATTGGCCAAGAGGGAAAGAGATTCTATACTGGACTTGTTTTAAACTCCTTAGTTTTGTCTGCTCCTTTCAATGTTGGCCTAAGGGAGCTTTCTTCCTGTTCTTTGGTCCCCTAAAAAAGATCCAGCATGTCAAAGGCAAGACTTGATATTCCTGATGCTTCTAGAAGAAAACTCTTTCAGTAAAACCACAGAGCTGTTTATGCATCCCCAGTTAGCAGAAATGGCTGAGCCATCCACTCCTATTCTTATTACCCCTTCTCCCCTGGGCAAGTTCCTCCTCTGTGGACCTTATTTCTTGTCATCTGATTGGCTCCTTCCCCAATGCAGCACACTCACAGCTTGGGTCTTGAAGCTACATGTGTTTGTTTCTTGTCCCTTGCATTTTTCTTTCAGAGAAATGTTGTACCCTAATCACAGTGTCTTCTAGGACTCCATGTGCCCTCCACACAGGTGGATTTTAGTCCTTCCATAAAAATTATTTCCTGCTAGCATTTCTAATTGCCTGTACTTTGTTCTAAATTGGAGTGCAGTCTCCATGCTTTAGCCCTCTCCTGTGAGGTATGTTGCTTCCAGACAGCATGCACTCGCTTGTTCCAGGCTTCCCTGTTCAGTTTTTTGCATGAATTTGGGGCTCCTTGTGTAGGTGTAGATTGCATTTACAGATCTTGTCAGCCTTTCTGCACCAACAAATGACCTAAAAGTGCAATGACAGTTTGTGACTGGTCACTGACAGCAAGTGTAGGTTGCTTTGTTAGAGGCATGAGCGCTCTGAATTATACTGTGTTCCAGAGTGACAGCGACATGGACAATGGAGTAAGCTAAGTAGCCATGATGGGAAGAGTGGCACTTCTATGATTAGTGTCCTGTCAGACCCACAGTGCTTGGGGTCCCTGTGGCAGCCTTCTCAAGGAGCTGTTTGTGCATAGACCCTCAACAGAAATCACGTTTCAGATGGATTGGAGCAAGAGTCTCAGCAGTGTAGGTAGGAAGGAGGTATGGCAGAGTGAGACAGCTTCAGGGTGTTTCTTAGTAGTGATCCATTGACCAGTGGCCAGTTAACCAACTAGCTCCCTGCTGAATTCACCCGTTTGTCTATCAATATTTTACTGTGAAGCTGTACAGGTACCCTGGATGGACTTAGGTAACAACTTAACAGGTGGAAGGAGTGTAAGGAAGTGCAGGGGATAAATTCTTACCCTGCTCCCTCTCTGACTTTCCTTGTGTGCTGCAGAGCACAGAGTTGAATGGGATCCGACTTCACAAAAGAAGCATGTGAGAATCTGGCTTTCATAAGGGAGGTGTTAAAGGCTAGAAACATCAAGAAACCTTTTTTTGTCTCGGTGGGGGTGTTCTCTGCAAACTGGTCGAAGCCCACTTCTTCCTGGTTCTTGGGCAGTGTTATTTAGGCACTGGAGAAATCTCACAAGGAAGTCTTCCTTACTGCTGGCATGGACTGAACTCATCAATGGTTGGGGCTCCCCCAGCAGAATGGCATGCACTGACCTATGAAATACCAGCAGAGGCTTCAGGGCAGCTGAATCTAGGCCTGAGCATAACCATGCCCTGAGTGTACAGTACATGAGCCTCACATGGCACATCAGAAACACAGCTTGTTACCATGTATTTTGGTTGCCTGTTCTCTCTCTCTAAGAGGAGCGGGTAGAGTCAGGAGTACAAAATGGTGTTGTAGGCCAGTGAAAGGGGTGCAGGGTGAGAGCAGGCATGGGGCTGGCTGAAGGACTGGCAGGAGAGGCTGGATTTTGCAGAGGTGGGTATATGAGAGCTGGGCCAGGAGGTGGTAGAATAGCACAGCAAGAGAAAAGGCTTGCCTGTGAAAGGGGAGATGAGGAGACTGTGATATGGAGGAGCCTAGGATGATCAGCTGGAATCTAGGGGTCTGGGAGGGTCTGAGAAGGTGGTTCCCCCATACACAGTGCTGAGATCACCCTGTGCAGAGGTGTCCATGTGCCAGCCAGGATGCTGGACTAGGAGCTGAACAAAGCCTGGAGCAGAAGGATGATGTGGCTGTCCTCCCTGCAGATCCCTTCAGTCTTCTGGCAGGATGTGGGTGGGCTCCAGGAGGTGAAGAAGGAGATTCTGGACACCATCCAGCTGCCCCTGGAACACCCTGAGTTGCTCTCATTCGGGCTGCGCCGCTCTGGTCTCCTACTGTATGGGCCTCCGGGGACAGGAAAGACCTTGCTGGCCAAAGCTGTGGCAACTGAGTGCACCATGACTTTCCTCAGGTGAAGGGCAGGGATCTGTAAAAGGGCACTGGGGCATGCTTTCATTGGAGCCTGAGGGGGAAGGCTCACCTAGTGATTCATGGGAGGGCCTGACCTGTACAGGAATGGGAGGCAGCTGGGGTTGGAGAGGTGCTGGCATGGCCTGATCCTTACTCTCTCCTCCCTGCAGTGTGAAAGGACCGGAGCTAATTAACATGTATGTGGGGCAGAGTGAAGAGAACGTTCGTGAAGGTGAGTGGCTGCCCTAGCCTGGGGTTTGGTGTACACTGACCTGGGGGAGCTGAGCCTATCTGGCATGCCCAGACATGTGCCTGGGGAGATGGTTCTCCCCTCAGGAAGGAGTGGAAATTAGGCCCCTAGCTCATCCCTCTGTAGTCGGTCTGCTCTAAAGAGGACTCGCACCTCGCCAGTCTTCCAGCCCCTCTTAATCCTTTCTGTAACCCCAGCCTTGCCTGTTCCTCCTCACCATCCCAACTCTCCACATCTTGCCTGTCACATGCCTTGTTGTCTGCAGTGTTGCTCATCCAGACCTCCCTATTTGCCACCATTGCAATCCTTTTCTGCTCCTCTGCTACAACCAGCACCAACTGCTTAAAGGTTTCCTACCACCTCTCCCTAATCCTGCTTTAAATTTTAGCTCCTTAATATCCTTTTTGCAGCCCTTGGTAATCGCCCTCATCTGCTTTCCAGTGCCATTTTCTTCCAGCCTGGTGTGCCTTGTCAGTACCTTCTCCATACCACTCTTCATTGTTTGCACTGGTGTTCCCCAGAGACCACAGGCAAGGTTCAGGACTTCATGGTGGTGGGTGCTGTGCAGGCATATACAGGAGGGCTATGTTGTGTACAGCCCCCAGCCTTGGCTCATGATGGGAAATAACATGACCTAGGGGTGCTGGGAGAGGTTTCCTTTGTGGTGGTAGACAGCAGTCCCAGCATGTCCCTAGGCCACTATGGCCTGCCCCTTCCTCCTACGCTCTACCTTAGGAATGGGAGGCCTGGAGCAGCATCCTGCTCCTATTGCTGGCCCTGCTTTCTTTCCCAGAGAGCCACATTCCTGGGTAGGTTGGGCAGATAGTTTCCAGGGTGATGGTTCTCCACTCAGGGCTGTCTTCTCTCCATGGGCTGGATGCCTTTCTGTGACCTGTTCTGTGGCATCCACACTCTGCATGTCTGTCTCCTCCCAGTGTTTGCCAGAGGCAGGGCAGCTGCTCCCTGTGTTATCTTCTTTGATGAACTGGATTCATTGGCACCCAGCCGTGGGCACAGTGGGGATTCAGGAGGTGTCATGGATCGGTGAGTAGTTGCCAGGCCCTTCTTTGGCAGATGTGGTAGGACAAGGCATGAGTCTATGAGCTAGGTGTGCATAAAAACTCCTGGTTGGGCAGAGCACGTGCAGCCTGATCCTCAGCCCAGCATTGTCCTCATAGCCTCTAGCCTCAGCTCCTTTTCCATGCTGGGTCTGACGTGCTGTTGCACTGACCCAGGCATGGGATGGTGGGAGTGTTCAGTATTTGCTCTGTACTGAGTCACTGTGGGCTCCAGTCTGGGATCAGTCCCATAGTGCTGGGTACAGTGCAGACATAAGAAGGTAGACCCACTTTCCCTGCAGCCTAGAGAAGCTCCCTGTGTGCCCCTTGACACCATCCTGTCCTTCCCCTTCCCACTCGTTGCCCATGTTTGCATTGAGAAAGCCACTCTAGAAGCATCCCTTGGGGTCAGAGCACAGGGTTCTGAACAAACATGTGCAAATGCAGCCCTTGCCCATAGAAGCTCCAGGGCTGGGCTGCTGGTGCAAGTCTAGCCTGCCCTTTCTTTAGGCCCAGAAGCTCTTCAGGGTTGGGCATTCTTGGGAAGCAGCACATCCCTCTCAAATGGTCCATTGTCATGTGCAGCTCCATGGCTCTGGCAGTGGCACTTTTCAGCACATGAGTACAGAGGTGGAGCAGCTGAGCATAAGGATGCTCTGAGCCTGAGTGCAGTGCTGGGTTGGCAAGGGAGCTGCAGGACTAGGATAAACTCATGTCAGCTGGGCATGACTGCCAACTGATGGAGGGGACCCCCAGCTCTGACAGACAGTAGGGCCTTGCAGCTGAGCTCATTGCTTAAGGACTTCAGTTGTGATTAGCAAATCACCATCTATGTGTGGAATGCAGTCAGTAGACATGGGCGTCTGTCTGTCCATATATGGTCCCTCTCACCCAGGCAGCTGAACATTTAACCAGCCCTGGTGGATGCAGCTTTACTCTCTTCCTGTGAGGAAGAGCAGGGGAAGGGATTTGCCTGAGATCACAGAGTCATTCTGGCAGGGCAGGGCATGAATTGGTGTCATCTCTGTTGTCTGAAGGTGTGGCACATGGTGCCTGGGTGATGCCATTGGTGCCCTGCTACAGGGGTCTTGGTAACTCAGGGGCCCTGCTAGGGTTGTTCATCATGTCAGTGGCTGTGCTTGTGCAAAGCCCTTTAGGTGTGCGAGTGCTGTGGGGGCTTGGGCAGCACAGTCCAGTCAGTAGGGTACAGGACCAGAGGTTGAGTAGCTCAGGTTCTCCTCCCAGCTCTGTTGACCAGTTGCTGTCCTGTATGAGGCCTTTTTAGTCTGTGCATTCGAGAGGAGTGGCTGTCTCCCAGTGTGTATATGCATAGCACCTTGTACAATGGGGCTTGGCTTTGGAGGGAGGCATCCGGGTGCTGCTGTAATACAAATGAGTACTAACAGTGGTGGTAAGCAGCCCTGGATTTGGGAGGTGCATTCATGTTCTACACTGGGTTTGCCAGTAACTCCTGGGTGTCCCTTCCCCCACTCTACCTGGTAGAGTTGTCTCCCAGCTGCTGGCGGAACTCGATGGCCTTCATTCCACCCAGGAAGTATTTGTGATCGGAGCCACAAACAGACCTGACTTGCTGGACCCTGCACTGCTGCGGCCTGGCAGGTACATGGCACGCTGCTCTCCGCACCTTTCTTCATGTAGGTGTTTCCCCTCCACAGATAATGTTCAGCTCCCCACATGGCTGTCAGGTGAGTCATTTCTTGAGCAGCACCTTGGCTTCTGGGACCTGTGAGTGACTGTGGCAGATGCCAGTGTTTATATGTAAAAAAAAACCAAATCCAGCACCTTTTAAGGCACTGCAGAAAGCTCTAGGTCCCTATTGCTGCTGTTTCCCTGCCTACCACTTGCTCCTGCATGCCACTATACTTACGTGCCTCCTCTTGATTTGGGATTGCAGACTCCAAGAACAGGGTCTGACTTCTCTGCTTGTGCAGTGCCCAGCATGCCAGGGCCCCAGGCCATGTGGTGAAAATAATAGGGCTATTTAAATGCCAGTATCCCCAGCCCCTTTAGAAAAAGAGCAGAGAAGCCCTGAGGGAATAGCATTGTGTAGGGGCTGCTGCAGAAGCTGAGTACTGGGTTCCATCTCAACCCCATCATAGGAGACATGTTAAGGTGGGAATAAGCTAGGATCGTACAACAGGGCTGGAAGAGACTTCTATGGTCCAACTCCCTACTGAAGGCATGGTCATCCCTGTCTGAATCACCCCATACAAAATGTCTAATGTATGCCTAAAACTGTGCAGTCAGTCTTGCTCTACAACTACAAGGCACATTGCCCAAAGGCAGCAAAAGCGCCCAAAATTTGCCACAGGCAAAAGTAGGGGATGAGGGCTATCGTGGTTGTTAAAATACACTTGAGGGATCCAAAGAAGAGGGCCATCAGCTACAGAAGAAGGCAACATTCCCCACAGTCAGTACCAGCTTGACCATGGTGTAAAATTTCTTTCTGACCCCAAATGTGATCAGTCAGAACCTTAGAAGGAGAGGGACAAGAGACCCTCTAGCCAGGAGCCTCCAGCTTTCAGTCCCAGCAGGACCACTGACACTCCCCAATCTAAAATCTGCAGCCTTAGCTGCAGCCAGCACCCAGTGCTTCTGAGAGGCAACCCCCTACCTTCCAACACCCGTAGCAACAGGAGGGGAGAAAAAAATTCCTTCCCAGTCCCATGTGGCAACTATTAAAACCCAGAAACGTGGTGGAGGTGAGAATCAAACACTGCTCTGGAACCTGGGAACAGCAAATATAACTCCACGCTCCTTTGACTGGACAGTCAGAATTCCTCTTTCTGTATCCCCTCTATGAATGATGCATGCCCCCCAGAGGCTGGGGTAATACAGTGACCTCCGACAGGTGGCGGTGGCAGGGGTATGATGGTGGGGAGCTCTGGCAGGCAGCCGCAGCAGTGTTGGTGGCGGGAGGTGGGGTTGTGAGTGCCAACAGCAGTCAGCAACCACTCACAGATGCTGCCAGCAGTGATTAGCGACTGCCTGCAGATGCGGAGGGGGAGGGTTGCTAGTGGCCTCAGCCTGCAGGTGCCGCTGGCAGCATCGGCAGCACTTCTGTCAGGGGGTGCACGTGCACTCCCTACACGTGGCCAATGATCCCCTCCATTAACTTATCCTAGCTGCTTTAATCTTCTCTCATGGCAGAGGGAGCCTTTGCAGCCAGGAAATAGGTTAGAACAGCCCAGCAGCTGCCCTTACTTGGACTGGAGGTGGGATGGGCTGAGGGTTCCCTGGTTTATAGCCACTATGGTCTCTCTGCTCCCAGCTTCTGCACTCCTTGTGAATGGAGACTGCCTCTGCTATGAGGGAGCAGCCCCATGGGCAGAGGGTGTGCTACTGGGGGATATCCTAGCCCTGGATCCACGGGACCAGTCAGCAGAAACAGGCTTGCCCTGAGGTTTCTCTGCTCTTGACTACCTCTCTCCCTCCTGGGCAGGTTTGACAAGCGGGTCTACGTGGGTGTGAATGAAGACCGGGAATCTCAGCTGAGAGTGTTGATTGCCATCACAAGAAAGTGAGTGCCTGTCAGGCTGCCTCAACCAGCAAGGAGCCATCTCCAACTTCCCCCTAGGGCATATGCCCTGCAGCAGGGCTGGATTCAGGAGGGAGTGGTATGGGAGGGGGGCAGATTGGCAAGCAATCGAAGCAGCACATATGGAGTGTGGGACTCTAGAGGGTCCCTTGCTTAAGTTGTGGTGAACCAGCAGTTGGTGGGGGGGGTAGTTGTTGTAGAGTTAGTCAGCATCTTCCTTCCTGTTGCTCTCCAGCCACTGCTCCAATCTGGGAGACTGCTTTTGGCTTTGGCCTTATTTGGGAGGGACAAGCAGGGTGCAGTGCAGGCCAACCCAGCTCTCCCCACCCCTTCCAGTCAGGAGTCAAAGGGATCTGCAGACCTGTAGCAGAGCCAGGGCTTCACCTCAGGTCAGATCCTCAGCAGGAAGCATCTGAATTTTTAAGTTGGTGCCACTTGACACCATTTGGATACCTGCCACTGTAGGGTCAAGTCTCCATTGCTTTGCTCCATGGGAAAGAGATTGGAAACAGTCATGATCCAGCAGTGACTTAGTTCCATTGTGGAGAGACATGAGGCAGCAGGGCAGCAGTGAGTGATGGCCCATTGCTTTCTAGAGGGGATGTTCTGTGGATTGCTGTGCTTCCTCCAGTGCTGTAGTCCAGTGGTTCTCAATCTCTTTTGTACCAGGACCCATTTGTAAACATTGATGGCCAGTCCTGACCCAGTAAATAGTTTAAGTAGAAAACATCCCCCTGGCCTTGCTGGTGCCCCTTACTCCCGACCCGCTGCCCCCTACCCCCAGCTCCACAGTGTGTGGGGCATGGAGAGGGACACATGCCTGCCTCAGATTTGTATGCCCGCAACTGGCAATTGGCTGGAGCGTGGCATCGGTATGGGCAAGAGCCACTTCCACAGCTCAGCGGGTAGGACTCAGCCCACAAGGGGTGGTGTGAGGCAGCAAGACTCATTGCTGCTACTACCAGGACCCCTGCACTGCAAGCAGTGCAAAGAGTTACAAACTGGGGGTGGGATGCAGTGCCTCACCTCCTGCCAGCCTTTTGCCCACCAGGCCTCAGCTCTATACCACTGCCATGGTCTGGCCATCTCTCCCCTCAGGTTGCCCATGCTGCCCGCTGCCCCACCTACCCTCAGATCTGAAGTGGGCAGTGATGGCAGCAGTAGCTGGGCCATGACAGCGGGGTAGAGCCACAGCCTGGTGTGAGAGTGGCTGGAGGTGAGGGGAAGTTAGGGCAGCATGGGTCCTGGTGGTGGCAGCAGCAATGAGTCTTGCTTCCCTACTTCGCCCTCCCACACTGAGTCCTGCCTGCTGGGCTGTGGAGGTGGCTCCTGTCTGTGCCAGTCTTGCCAGGCTGCAGCCTCATGCCCACTGTGGGTACATAAATCTAGGAAGGCAAATGCCCCCTCATGCCTCCTGAAGCATTGCCTGTGCTCCCTTCAATGCATCATTTTTGCACCCCTGCCATGCCCCATAAACTTTCCTGCAGGGAGCTATGGGAGCTGCTCTCCATGCTGCCTGGCTGCCACATGCATGTGTGTGTGCACACATGCATGTGGCACCCCCTGCCTGATCACCCTCCTCCTGCTTCCCCAGTCCTAAGCATCCCCTTGCATGCTGAAACTCTGCCAGCCTGCAAAGGGAAACCCACAGTTTCCCATATTTTTTTCTTCTTTAAAGGAGAAAATCTGTGTTTTTTCCATGGCAAATGGAAAACCAGAATCCCTATTTATTAGTATTCACAGTGCTAACATATGGTGAAGCACAAGCGGCATCTATTTTGTCAAAAATGTATGGAAAATATGATCCATTTTTTAAGTTTGTTCACATCCCTTTCATATATTCTTGCAACTCACTTTTGGGTCACAACCCATGGGTTGAGAAATGCTGCTCTAGCCTTTTCCCATAAGTTTTATCCCCTGCCCTGCTTTTGAGGTGGTTGCTGCTCACCTCTAAATTCTCAGGAGGGTGGCCAGGCATGTTCTGGTAGAAGAAAAGCTGTTTTCATTGCTAATTTTCATTTTGGAAGGTTATGTTTGGCAGCTTAGCACTCTCCTGTGCTGCAGGGGTGACATAGCTTCTGCTGTGTGGGGTTTCGACAGGATTTTCTAGTGCTGACTTGACTGGTTTTACTGGTACTGGTAGTTCTTGTTTGGGAGGAGTGTGGAGCTTAGGAGTCAGGTCTCCAAACCCTCCTTTTTTTTTTTTCCAGATCAACAGCTCTAAATTGCCCCTGGGTCTAGGGAGCAAGCACAGGGGCCCACATGTGACCACTGCCTGATGTGATCCCCTGGGGGGGTAGGTGAGCAGGTAAACCCAGTTTAGTTTGGAGCAGCTGGTGCAGAACATAGAAGGTGCTAAACAGGGAGAGGAGCTATTGTGGGATGCAATTACTCCTGCCCCAGCCCTTCCGGCTGCCTTGTTTCTCTGAGTCTCCATCTTTATGTGATCCAAGCTCTGGGTATTTCCCTCCCTGGCAGGTTTAAATTGGACCCTTCAGTGAGTCTCACCAGTATCCTAGACAAGTGCCCTGCCCAGCTGACTGGAGCAGATCTGTATGCGCTCTGTTCGGACGCCGTGATGCATGTCATCAAACGGAAAGTGGAGTGCATTGAAGAAGGTAGGACCCCTTCCCGGCCACTTTCGCTGCTGAGAGTAACTAACATCTATGCAGTTGGGAGGCCTGTGCAGTGTTTTTTTTGCTCCAACCATGTGTTTTTTGTCGGGAAGGAGGCAAGCAAGTGCTTTTGTGCTGGTCTCTGAAATGCAGAGATCTTGAACATCATGTGAAGGTCAAGGAATGGGCTCTCATCTGGCCATCCTGGGGTCAGCCCCAGCTTACTGGAGTTGCTGGCTGGACTTTCCCCTTTCTTCGTGTCAGTCTGTGGGCAATGGTGATGAGGCAGCTGCATGATAGTGGGTTTGATGCCAGGCTGTGAGGATGACTGAGTGAGGGGGAGCATGGCCAGGATTAGTGTGACTGACTCAGAAGAGAGGACCCCCACAGTTGCACATGTACAGCTTCAAATGCCATAATGCCTCATGCATGGAGTAGCCATCTGCCCATAGGGCACGCAAGACCTGCTGGGCCTCAATCATGCCATTCTCATAAACCCATCCTTTCCACTTGGGCTGCTGGCAGAAGGAATGTGTACAATAGTTGGTGACTGGGAAGGCCTTTAGTTCAGGGTCTGTGCAGCCCTGCATTGGACCTGGCCAACAAGATATCTGAGGGGACACATTCTCCCCTTGTCACTACAGTGGGAGGCACAGGAAATGAGGTGTCTACGAAGGTCTGTGCTGCCTCTGATGTCACCAGTCACCCTTCCTTGTTCTCAGTCTCTGTCCAGCTGTACCTTCCTTCTTCTGGAAGCTGAAGTGCATGGGACCTGCTACAAGAAGGGCATACCCAGAGCCTGGGGTTGGCAGCAGTTTTCATAAGTGAATTGGTGTCTGCACTATGGCCTACCTGCTTGGGCTTCTAAAATTGGGACTTGTCTAGGATTTGTCTCTCTTGCCTCCTGCTCTTTGAGCTCTTGGGGCACATGAGTTGCAGCTCTAAGCCTTTCTCCACAGCCCTGGCTGTAGGAATATCCTTAAAATTAATTCCCACCTCATTCTGTGATCCTTGAGCCTGGGGCTTAAATACTACCCCCTGCATTGCCAAGCTGCAGTCACCCTGCAGGGGGTGGGAGGGCTGCTCCGAGGGCCCAGCCCTTCTGCCTGGATGAAGTTCAAGGACCTCTGCCTTCCTGGGAAGCAGGTTCTGAATTGCTCAGACTGCAGCAGCCTCTTTTACACAGGAAAGATTTTGAACATGGCATAATGTGTTAAAGGCTACACCCATGCGGGCTAGGAGGAGGAGGGGACAATTGACAGGCTGCAAGCTGCAGGGGTTGGAACCAGCTGAAAGAAAGCACTTGGCCCAAGGGGAAGGAGCGCCTCCCAGTGCTCTTTAACAGTTTGGCATAATTAAACCAGAGTCCCTGTTGGGGCTTGTTCAACTGCACTCTGCATGTGTACATGTGCATTCTGCACCAGAGATTGGGGATGACCATGTGCTCTGCTTTGCAGGGCTGGACACAGAGAGCTCTGATCTTGTCCTGACCATGGAGGACTTCCTGCAAGCTGTTGCTGGGCTGCAGCCATCTGTTTCTGACCAGGAGCTGCTTAGATACAAGCTGATCCAGCAGAAGTTTGCGGCCTGCTAGCATCTAACAGGAAAGGAAGGCATGGAGCATGTGGGACCACACGGCTGGCACTAATGCAGGAGGGTCTGGGAGACCACCCAGACCCAGGACAGAACCCTTAGAAGCAGGGGAGTTGTTGTCTGTTGATTCATGACCGAGTATGGTACCCAATCAGGTTAACGGGGTAGGATTTTTGCCATGGAGCTGAGGCTGCTGCCAGCATTGTGAGGGGGTGGGAGCAGCTTGGCTCTTTAACCTGCTTTCTGCTTCCAGCCTTTCCCTGCTCAGCCTTGTAAATCTTTGCAGGCACCCTCCTACCTGTGTTTGTCTGATTGTATCCCACAGCCCACTCTGTACCTTTGAGTACAGTGAGAGCTGACGGTGAGAGGCAGGCCTTGAATTTATCTGTGGATCACTGTGGAAAGAAATGCTACTCCAGCTCCTGGGAGACTCAGAATGTTATGGAGAGTGCCAGGGCTGCCCTTGCACCTAGGGCACAGCAAAGAGTGATGTCACAGCTGAATGTCTGGGAAGGGGGTGGGACAGTTGCAGTGGGCATGTGTGGGTGTTTGCCAAGGCTTTGACCCTTCCCATTTTCCAAGCCAACCATCTAGAGAGGCATATTGCTCCTCAAGACCGAGTCTCTACAGCTGTGGGCGTGTGAGAAGAATGGTGCAGTGCTCACCCATTCCAGGGGCTTGGCTGGTATTTAGGAGATTTTGTAGGCAGCCATGCACCTATCTGAAGGGCCTGCACTATGAGGAGGGCAGCATCCATATCGTGTTGAGCCAGGCAGGGAGAATTGTACAGCCTGCACATCCACCGCAGCACAAGTTGTACAGTCTGCTCCTTAGGGGACTATTTCATTGCCTATGTCTGCCTCCCAGTAGTCTGATCTAGGCATGGGCAGTTCTGCAGGGTGTTTGGGGAGGGAGGAGGGAGTGTTAATGGTCATCACTAGCCTCTGATTGGGGGTGGGTGTGCGTGCGTGCATGCACCAAGGCTCAAGAGAGTCTTTGGGAGTGTGGCTACCCAGGCCAGTTAGGTCATAACCAGAATCAGTGATGGGACCTGAATCAGTACTTGGGCAACTGCCTGTTCTTGCCAGGGCAGCAGCAGATGCCCCAAACCACGAGCAGCACAGCTGGGGACTATGCAGGGGAAGAGACGCTTGTACTCTGTGCCCTTGGTTTTGACTCCTCACCAGCTTAGCCCAGCCCCATGAGATGCCATCCGTTTGCCTCTGTTCTGTGAAGTTCTTCAGGGTGAGGTGTGGTGTTGAGGGTTTCAGTGAGATCAGCCTTGCTGTAAATATCCAGCATAGTCAAAGCTGAAAGTGGTTTTGCGAGTGCTATATTCACCCATGGCCATAACCAGACTTCGCTGCATTCTCAGTCAGGAGGAGCCAAAACACATGTTGTGGTATGCTCCAGAGCACCTAAAACCCACAAAACCCAGCTGAGGCAGTGCAAACATCTGAGTACATCATGTAGCCAGCTTATCGGGCAAGGTAGGAGAAAATTAGACATGCCCCTGGCCACTGTGCCCCCAGGGGCACGTGGCATTCATGGCTGCTGCCACCTTGCCCATACATTTTGGTTAAGTGCACATCTCATGGGTGGCTGTGTCAGGGGTTGTGGGCCTCAGCTATGCAGTTCTAGGTGATGGGCAGGCACGTGTGTTCTATAAGCCCTGGAGCAGGCCCTCCCCGTGCTGAAGGGGGAAGGTATACCCTGGCCCCACTACTACCCCTTGGAGTATCTTCCAGCTGAGTTGGGCCACCTACAGAGTGAGGGGCTACCTGGCAACTAAGAGGAGCTCACAGCTGAGCCCTGCATAGACCCAGGTGGCCTTGCTCCCTCTGCCTCTTGGATGGAGCTGTGCAGTCATGCAGCTGTGCAGCTATGCTCTGTAGGGTGAGGAGTGGAGGAGGGGAGCCAAGCCCCTGCTGCTGATGCAGTCCCAGGCTATCCTCTCCTAGCCCCTGTGCCCACAGCAATAGAATGCAGGCTGATGGAGGATTAGGCACTTGTCTGTACAACCAGAGACCCCAAGGCAGCAGCATCCTGCTCTGCCACCCCCTGTGTGCCTTGGCTAGCAGTTCAGTGCCTCACTCCTGGTCCATGTGGAAATACCACACTGCCTGCCCTTAACCCCTGTCACAGGAAGGCATCATGGGAAAAGCCACAGGGCAACTGACACCCCAGTGATGCACAGGCCAGGACCCAGACTCCAGCAGCTCCATTCACAAGGCAGTCCCCAGCGATGCTAGCTGCCATGGCCTCCAGGCTTCCCCCTCACCCCGGTAAGTTCATGGCCCCTGCCCTAACTCCCCCCCTCCCCTGCTTGCCCAAGGACAGACGCACAGAACTACATGCAACTTCCATGAGCATTGTTACTGTTTCCCTTCAGCACTTTCTTGAGAACCCGTGGCAGCCCTGAGACTTGGGCAAGTGCACACCCAGTGCGAGTGACAAATGCAAGCAGTAGAGAGGGAGCAGTAGCAGCGCACCGTCAGAGCCTGCTTATGACAGACACGGCCCCTGGGGGCTTCCCCATGTGGCCAAGCTTATCTGTCACCAAAGCAGAGCCCTGGCTGGCTGCTCAGAGACCAGAAGATAGAGAAGGGTCCCTTCTCATCCTCCATGCCAGTCAACTGGTGTGGGCAGTAGTAGCCAGCCAGGGAGCCCTGGGCAGTGGCTGTCAGCCGGTCTTCTTCACTACATGGATGAAGTAGCAGGGGATGTACTCCTGGCCAGGTGTGTAAGGCTTGAAGTCACCCAGGATGCTGTGCTGGCACCTCCCCTGGAAAGCATTCTTCAGCAGCTCCGAGAAGGCCTCCAGGCAATGAGGGTAGTAGGAAAGCCGGAACTTGCTAGAATGCAGGAGCAGAGAGCCAGCAGTGAGGTGCTGTCGGGAGACTGGGGCTGGTCTCTGCACCTGCCTGATTTCCAGGGCCCCTTGTGAGCAAGAGTAGCCTGCTCACAGGGATGCAGATGAGCTGCCAAAGACCTGTGCATTTCTTCATGTTTGTTTCAGGAAACAAGAGTCTGCATTGGGCATAGTGGGACATGCCTGGGGAGGTATACTAATATCTACCCCTGCTCCCACTCCACAGGCCTGTCACCTGGTTATGCATGCCTACCCACCTCAGTTCTGGGCTTCCTTCCATTTCCTGGGCTGGAACTTGCACGGTATAGTCCAGGGTCACCATGTGGGCCTTGTTGTTCACAAAGAGCACAGATGTAGTGATGTCCTTTGTCAGGTCACTCTGGGAGGGAGACAAGGCTGAGAACTGCCTGTTACCACCTTCCTGTCTGGCCCTGGCCCTGCCTACCCCAGAGGCACAATGCTGGTGTTTGCAGGGAAGGGGAGGGCCAGGCTCATCCCATGTCTCCTCCCATACCACTAGCCTGCAATGTACAGGCAGGTGGGCTCATTCTCCATAAGTATTCAAGGATGGGGCTGCCTGTGCAAGGAGATTCATTAGTGATCCAGTATCAATTCCACTCCCAAAAGCTAAACACAGCACCCCCCCACCCCCGCTCCATACAGTGCAGAGCACCCCCTCCAGTGGGAGATGAGCCTAAAGCCATTGAGAAAGCTGAGCATTCTCCCTTCAAGGCCTTTGTTTGGGCTGGCTCCAGCCCAGACTCTCTGCCCCTTTCCTTTAGTCCATCATGACGTATGCCTGTCTGCTAGGGCTCTGCCTGGTCCCTTGCCTGTTCTAACTCCCAGAGCCTCCCCACCCCTTTCTCCTGCACATTCAGCCACATTGTTAGCCAGACCTGCCCCCTGCCTGCCAGCTACATCCCAGCTGCAGGGACTCACTCCACTGGCTTGGGTGAATGGTCTTGCCAGGATGCCAGAGAGGGCAGAAAGCAGGTCAAGGCCATTGGATGCCCGCCCAGCAGCAGGAGGTGGCAGGAGTTGGAGGGAGGAGTCTCTCCCACCCAGCCTGAGCACACCTTCTGATCCCCAAAGGACCAGCCAGGGCACGGCCCTGTCTGGCCAGCCAATAGAGGGACATCCTCCTCTTCCCCTCCCAACAGGGCTTTCCAGGGCAGTTACCTTGTAATAGATATTCTTCCCTGGAGGCGCGCACCCCGTGGCCAGGATATGGTCGTAGTTGCGATGGTCAATGACCATGACACCACCTGGGCGCACCATGCTTGCAATATTCTTAAGTGCCATCTTATGATCGCTTTGGTCACCTATGAGATGGGGCAGAGTTCAACTATACTGCTGTGAGCTGTCTGAAAGTGCCTCCTTCCCTGGTGCCTGCAGCCCCTCTCCCAGGGTACTTTGCTCCAAAGTAGAGGAAGCTGCACTCCAAAGATCTCCTGGCAAGACATGTGGGCCTTACTTCCAACCTCTTGCTGGGCCCTCTGTGCTGCCTCAGCTGGTTTAAAGGGGCCCTCCAGGAACAGCACAGGCATAGTGGGGTTGCTGGACAATGCATGGCCAGTGGGATGGGCAAGTGGTCCAGGGAGAGGTGGCTGGAATGCATGGTGCAGACAGCCCATTACAGCTCCCAGCAAGTTAGAGCAGCCCCAGAATCCTTAAGGTGCTGCGATTGTGCAGACAAGCCTTCCCTCCTCTTCCCCCTTCCTGAACATCTATGGCTATGCCTGCATTGCACTCAAGGTGAGAATGTAGCATGTGCAGCTGTGCCAGAGTCAGTGCACAGCTGACAGCAGCAGGGGCTACACAAACCCAGTCAGGACCTTGGGTATGTTGGTGACAGTGGCCATCCCTGCTGTGCACAAGCCAACTGCATGAAAACTTTCCTGTACTGTAGGATGCAAGACAGATGGGCCCTGGGGAGGTGGGGACTGCTCCATGCAGTTGAGGTGCCATGTACCTGTCTCCAGACAGGCCAATCAGCCAAGCCTTGTGCTGTTGAGCTCACCTTTGAAGTCAGGCAGATGCGCGAAGGAGTTCCCTAGGCAGATGACAGCATCAAACCCATCTCCAGGCTTCTTCATGTCCCTCTCCAGGGTAAGCCAGTTGGCCTCCTCAATGACTGCCCCCAACAAGAGCTGGTTAGGTATGCAGAGGCCCTGCTGGCTCTGAGTTGGTCTCAACATGCTCATTCCCTGCTGCCCACAGACACCACTCCCTTGCCCCCCAGCACAACTCAAGGAAGGGCATCCCCTTCATATGACTCATGCCCTTGCTGTGCCAGAGCGAACATTCACTGGCAAACCCCCCAAATCCCAGGCACTGATCTTCTTGAAACTTGGCAGGCTTCATCCTCCCTTCAGAGGATACCATCCCTGAAAATTTCATCCAAATCAGACAAAAAACAACA